TTCAGTTCGTTTTTGAAGAAGTGGTCTGTGTTTCTGAAAACCACTTATTGTTCTGTGTGCTCTTACAAAGAAGGGGAGAGGTTCTTGTAGTAGATTTTGTCTGGTCCGTTGTATACACCTATTCATTCAAAAAATAGGGGGGAATGGAGAACGGCGATTGACTATGGTTACGCTGTTTGACATGCAAAATTCCATTTGTTGTGTTCACGTGAAAATGGAGATTAACTAGAGTTTTAACTCTATTTAAAACTCTATTTTTAAAATCTATTATAAACTCTATTTTAAACTACAGACTATCTTACCGTATAAATCAGTGATTATTGGGAGCACTATTTATTGACAGTTTTTTTGAACGTGGGTTCGGAGAGGGTTGAAAAATTTTGAACGAGATTTATAGGGAGGGCCACAATGTTTTGCCTAAAGAAAATTAACAAGAATCATAAGGGTCTGCGCAATAATTATCATGAGGAGGGTTCAGTATCCAGAGTCGCTCAGAGGTACGACGACTTTGGCTCCCGGTGTAGGCCTGCACTATGGATAGCACATCACTGCATATTTATGAATCCTACAGCCAAATATATACCAAAACTTTCAAAAATTCTTCTTAAAACATTGCCTGTCATTCACCTAAATCAGTGCCATAGTTTGCTTTCTGACTTACTTCAACTTAGTCCATCCTATAACTTTTCTAAAAACAACATATCCATAAATAAAGATACCAATACAAGAATACGACATTAAGTTGATACTAAACACAGTCAATATGTCCGTCAAGATTCTCAGCAGGCGCGTAGCGTGGACGGGTTTTGGCTACACTAGTACGCACATGTCAGGGACCGCGACACACTATTATGGATTGGGGGCTAACGACCGCTGAAGGTGGGGGTATTCAGGGAGTTCTGGGGGTCCTTCCAAGGGAATTTTGAAGTAATAACTCTTGGAAATGCGATTTCCAGCGTTTTGAGGTTCTTTCTGATAACGAAACCTTGATGCGAGAGAGCACGCATACACAATTATATAAAAAATCTCGAAAATTTTAATATTTCCTTGTCACTAGTACGCACGTGCGTATATACGTAAAGGACGCCACGCGCCTGCTCAGGCGATCAAGCTGTGGCTGAACGTCTATATCTGCACATCGCATTGTCAATGCGGAGTGTTGTAATTACTCCAATGTTTCAACAGCAAAATAAGCTTTTGGTGGACTTCAATCGACTTTATTTGTATTTGTTTTTACCATATTTTAAATCAGGAATTAGTGAAAATCATTCTTTTCTAGTAACTGAGCGTGCACGCTAGATGTGATGGTGTCTGGACTCTTATTCGCACGATCTAATAATCAGCCAATCAGAGCAGCAGAATTCACAGAAGTGTGTATATAATTAGGAAGTTTCATAATTTTTTTGGTCCTATTCAAAGATGTACTAGGGACGTCCTTTTTTTTTCTTTAGGGCTCAATGCACATTTAGTAGCCCACCCTTCATCCCAATAAATAATGGCTAACTCCTCTTTATCCATCAATCAACAAAACCCATGTTTCCTTTCGGTCGTGTAATCTTTCAAATTGCTCGACAATTGGTATTCGCAAATTCATTGGACAATACGTTTTGAAGTAGAGGTTATTAACCGAGCGCGAGGTCTGTACGGGAAAATATCAGACCGAGGTCTTGACAGTACGGACCGAGCGCAGCGATGTCCGTACTAAAAGACCGAGGTCGTTTATTATATGACTTTTACATCGTAGATTATGTAGAAGAATTACTCAAAGTATATAGGAAAAGTCTCACTTGTCAACTTGCAGCCTGTTGCCTTCCTCTATCTGATGGCAACGTTTTCCTCAAATATCTCACGATATGAGTAAAATGACACAGAAATCATCATATTTTCAGTAATTGTCGGCTAAAAAGACGGGGATTTTGGCTCCTTGTTTCATAGATTCAGTTTATTTTCATACACAAAAACATTATTATTATTACGGATTACTCACAAATTTTCACTGATTCTTCTATCGTCTATCGTCGCGGCCGCCGGTGTAGCCATTTGTTTACTTTTTCAAAGTGGATGTCTCTCAATATAGAATTACAATTTTCTTTGTTTTCCAGCAACCGAGAAGTCATTGAATCGAGGAAAGAGGAGGATTTCATTCTTGCCAAGACACCGGTTTGAATCCCTTCGGCTTTTCACTTTTGTTTTGAGTAGTTTGTGGACTTAAGCTTATGTTCTGGCTTCTTTTGAGCTTTTACAACTTCATTGAGTTTTTCTTCCAATACGATCCTTTTTGGGCTATCTTTAAATTGTGGTGAATACTTATTGAGCATTTCTAAAAGCTGGATTGATGCCGTTGGCATTGAAAACAACTGTACGGTCAACTCGGAAAAGAGCGGGAAAGTCAAGTGCTAAGACGCGAGCGCGGA